CCCCGTTGAGAACCAATGATCTAGAGCTTGTAAATGCATGGAGATACAAAAATGGTGATACAAAAGAATAGAGTTATTTTTCTGAAAGACGAGATCTTTTTCAAGAATTGATCTGTTTTAGATATCTAGGAATGTGGCTACTAGCATTCATAATGGAGATACTGCCAAAGACTTTTTCAGACCATAATCCAGTGGTTTTAGCATTTAAAAGAAAAACCAGTTCCTTCAGGTGGAGGTTAAATGAAACATTTTTGCAGAAACAGTAATGGAAGATTGTAAAAAGAAGTAAAAATAATTTTTTGATAATAATCTTAATAATGATACAGACATAAGAATGGTTTAGGACACAAGTAAAGCTTTTATGAGGGGATATTTTATACAGCATAATAGTAAACTAAAGAGAGAGAGAGAGCAGAGTAAACACAGGCAATTTTAAATCAGATAAAACTGAAAGAAGAATTAAAGCAATTCCCAAAAAAGAAAATTATTTCACAACAAATTAAACTTTTACAATGGCAGCTGTCTTTGTTAATAGTAGGAGAAATGGAAGTCAAACTGAATTATGCAAAACAAAATAATTTTGAATTTTCAAATAAGCCAGGAAAATGGTTGGCATATAAATTGAGGAAAGAAAAAGAGAAAATGATAATAAAATTGCAAGATGGAAATACTACATTAATAGATAATCTAAAGATGCAAAAATATTTTATCAATACTACTCTAAATTATGTAAAGAGAAGAAATTTCCCTGGCAAAGAATTATAAATATTTAAAGAAACATAATTTACTGAAGATCACAGAAAAACAGTATTAATGAATGGACCCATTACAATAAAGGAAGTTTGTGAAGCTATAAAAAGGTCAAAATAGGGAACGCGCCTGGACCAGATGATTTACCAGCCTCTTATTATAAACATTTTGAAGATGAATTATTACAGCTGTTGCAAAACATGAATTCTATTGTACAGACTGGAAAGATACCAGATAGTTGGATGGAGGCTAACATAGCATTAATATCTAAAGAAGGTCAAGATTTGACTTCATTAGAAAATCATTGCCCAATAGCATTACTGAATAATGATTATAAGTTATTCATGATGATTTTAGCTGGGAGAATGAAAATGGTTTTATAGGACTTTATTCATGAAGATCAGTGTAGATTTTTACCTAAAAGACAGCTGAGGGACAATATTAGAAATGTATTGCATATTTTGGAATACTTAGACAACATAATGAAAAGCAAGCTGCATTGATTTTTCTTGATGCAAAAAAGGTCTTTGACAATTTGAACTGGACTTTTTTGCTTAAAATTTTGGAAGAGATGGACTTTGGCAGGAATTTTATCAAATGGGTACAATCGATTTATACCTCACAAAAGGCACAGATAATTGTAAATGAAGAATTAACAAAACCCTGTGAGATATAGACAGGGACTAGACAAGGATGCCCCTTGACACCATTGCTATTTATTTTAGCTTTGGAAGTATTGAGCAGAGATATATGATGAGATGAGAGAATTGCTGGAGTGGAGATTAAAAGAGAAACATAAATTACAGGTGTTTGCTGATGACCTGATGATAATTTTGGAAGATTCTCTGGAAGGAATAGAAACATTAATGGAAAAGCAAAAGGATATTGGGTTGTTAGCTAGTTTTAAAATGAATAAACAAAAGTTGTTAATAAAGAATATGAGAATAGAAAAACAAATGGAATTGCTTTTTAGATTTTGGTTTTAAAATTGAGAAAAAAGTAAAATACTTGGGTATCACTATAACTAATATGAATTGTATGTTATACCAGAATAATTATGTTAAGACATGGAATGAAATCAAGAAGGTCATGTTAAGATAAAATTACAATTGTCATTGTTGGGGAGAATTTCTGTGATAAAAATGAATGTTTTGCCAAGAATGATGTTTTTGTTTTAAACAATACCTATTATGACAACTGATGTACCATTTAAAAAATGGCAGAAAGATATATCTAAGGGTGCATGGCAAGGGAGAAAACCAACAGTTAAATATAAAATACTTCAAGATACAAAGGAACGAGGACAATTGGGACTGGCTGATATGAAATTGTATTTTGCAGCCTGCTGCTTAGTCTGGATGAAAGAGTGGGTTTTGCTGAGAAATAAGAGAATTTCAGAATTAGAAGTGCACGATCTGAGGTTTGGATAGCATGGTTTTCTATGGTACAATAAAGTTAAAGTTAATGTAAATTTTAAGAATCATTATATTAGAAGTGCCATATTGAGAATATGGAACAGATATAAACCCAG